GAATGAGGGACATCATTGCTGATGTCAGATGGATCTTGGCTCAAAGTAAAGAATATCAGAAAGATGTTTACTTGTGTTTTATTGACTATGCAAAAACATTTGATTCTGTGGATCATAACAAATAGTGGATAACATTGAGAAGACTGGGAATTCCAAAACACTTAATTGTACTCATGAGGAACCTGAACATAGACCAGAAGGCTGTCATTCAAACAGAAAAAGGGAACACTGCATGGTTTAAAATCAAGAAGGGAGTGCATCAGGGTTGTATCCTTTCACCACACTTATTCAATCTGTATGCTGAGCAAATAATCCAAGAAGCTGGACTCTATGAAGAAGAACATGGCATCAAGATTGGAGGAAGAATCATTAACAACCTGAGATACGCTGAAAACACAACTTTGCTTGCTGAAAGTGAGGATGACTTGAAGTACTTAGTGATGAAGATTGAAGAATACAGTCTGCAATATGGATTACATCTCAATGTGAAGAAAACAAAAGTCCTCACAACAGGACCTATAAGCATCACTACAGTAAATGGAGAAATGATTTAAATTGTCAAAGACTTCATATTGCTTGGTTCTACAATCAAAGTCAATGGAAGCAGCAGTCAGGACATCAAACGATGTACAGCACTGGGCAAATCAACTGCAATGGACCTCTTTCAAGTGCTGAAGAGCAAAGATGTCTCCTTGAGGACTAAGGTGCACCTGACACAAGCCATGGCATTTTCAATCACCTCATGTGGGAGCTCTGGTAGCATAGTGCCTAAGGCACTTGCCTGCTAACCAGAAGGTTAGCAGTTCAAACCCACCAGCCACTCCTTGGAAGGAAGATGGAGCAATCTACTTCCGTAGTGATACTGCCTTGGAAACCCAAGGAGGGGTCACTGTGAGTTGGGTTTGACTCGACAGCATATAAAAACAACAACATATGCATGTAAGAGGTGGACAATGGAAGATTGAAGAAGAGCTGATGCTTTTGAGCTGTGGTGTTGGCAAAGAATGCTGGAAGAATCATGGACTGCTAGAAGAACTAACAAGTTTGTCCTGGAGGAAGTGCAGCCGGAATGCTCCTTGGAGGTGAGAATGACCAGACTTCATCTCACATACTTTGGTTGTGTTGTCAGAAGGGACCATTCCCTGGAGAAGGATGTTATGTTTGGCAAGGTGGAGGGTCGACGACAGAGGGAAAGGCCCTCAACGAGGTGGATTGACATGGTAATAGCAGCGATGGGCTCAAGTGTATAGCAAGAATCGTGGAGTTGGCTCGGGACCGGGTGGTGCATCATTTGCTGTGCATAGGGTCACTATGAGTTGGAAACGAGTAGATGACACTTAACATCAATGACAGCAAATTTGCCCCGATTTTCCTTGAGGAACTTCGTAGTTTTAGGTTTCACATTTAAGTCTTTGATCCATCTGGAGTTAGTTTTTGTGTATAGTGTGAGGAACAGATCTTGTTTCATTTTTCTGCAAATGGATATCCAGTTTTGCCATCATCATTTATTAAACAGATATTCTCTTCCCCATTTAAGGGATTTCAGCCCTTTGTCAAATATCAGCTGACCATAGGTCAATAGATGTATATCTGGGTTCTCAATTCTATTCCTCTGGTCTATGTGTCTGTCATTGTACCAATACCAGGCAGTTTTGACTACTGTGGCTGTGTAGTAGGTTTTGAGATCCAGGTGTCTGAGACCTCCTACTTTGTTCTTCTTCAATAAAACTTCAAACCAAAATCACTGCCATTGAGTTGAATCCAACTCATAGTGACCCTTCCCTTGGGTTTCCAAGGCGCCATCACTACAGAATTAGATTGCCCAGCCTTCCTTCTGAGGAGTGGCTGGTGGGTTTGTACCACCAGCCTTCTGGTTAGCAGTCAAATGCCTTAGGCACTACACCACCAGAACTAGTGCTTTGCTTATCCGAGGTCTCTTTCCTTTCCATATAAAATTAGTGATTGTTTTTTCCATATTCTTAAAGAATATTGGGAGCTTTGGTAGCATAGTGCCTAAGGCATTTGACTGCTAACCAGAAGGCTGGCAGTTAAAACCCACCAGCCACTCCTTGGAAGGAAGGTTGGACCATCTACTTCCATAGTGACACTGCCTTGGAAACCCAACGAGAGGTCACTACGAGCCAGGTTCAACTCGACGGCAGTGAGTGTGGAGTTTGGTTTTAAAGCATGTTGATGGGATCTAGATTGGGATTGCATTGAATGTATAGATTGCTTTGGGTAGAATTGACACTTTCATAATGTTCAATCCTCCTATCCACGAGCATGGTATGTTCTTCCATTTATGTAGATTGATGAGCATTTTTTAATATGTTTGTTGGGTGCTTGAATGTCTTCTTTAGTGAAAGTTCTGTTCCTGTTCTTTGCCCATTTTATAATTGGGTTGTTTGTCTTTTTGTTGTTTAGTTGTTGAAGTTTTTAATAAATTTTAGAGATTAGACTTTTATCAGATGTCATTTCCAAAGATTTTTTTTCCCAAACTGTAGATTTTCTTTTTATTCTTGATACAGTCTTTTGATGAACATTAATTTTCCATTGTTATGAGGTCTTAGTTAACTATTTTTTCTTCTTATATTAATGCCATTGGTATTATTGTAGTTTTACAAAAGATTAGGCACCATAGTTTTCTCCTAGGTATTTTTTAGGTTTAGGTTTAACACTTAAGCATTTGATTGATTTTGGATTAGTTTTTATATATGGTGTGAAATATGTGTCCTGTTTCATTTTTCTGGGGAGTGGATACCCATTTTTGCTGGCACTATTTATTAAAGAGACTGTTTCAATCCCCATTTATTAAATTTTGACCCTTTTTCCAAAATCAGTTGTCCATAGATGGCTGGATTTATGTCTGGGTTCTCAATTCTATTCCACTGGTCTGTGTGTCTATCAATGAACCAAAAGCAGGCTGTTTTGATTACAGTGATTGTATAATATATTTTGATATCAGGGCATGACACCTCCTGCTTTGTTCTTCTTCAGTGTTGCTTTGGCTATTTGGAGTTTCTTTCCTTTTCATATGAAATTTGTCATTACTTCTTGCATTTTAGTAAAGAATGTTATTGGGATTTATATCATTATTGCATTGTATCTGTAGATAACTTTAGGTAGACTTGACATTTTCATTATATTAAGTTTTGAGCACAGACTTATATGTAAATCTCTTTAGTCTTTTGTGGTAGTGTTTAATAATTTTCAGTGTATACCTACTCCTCACTTATTGACTATCTCATTATTCAACATTTTATATTTAGGACAATAGTAAAAAATTTACTTAAATCATATTAAAACCAGGTAAGGATTATTGTGTTTTGAGTGAGAGAGTGCCTCCTTCCTGAGTCTCCAGTCCTTGATCCCTCCAATCCTATCCCTCTCCCCAATCACAGATGCAAATAGTTAAAGAGGGGGGTGCGAAAGGCCTGATGCCAGGGCCTCCAGGCATTAACCTGCACTTGTACTACTCCGCTTTGCTAAATCCATACAGGGACTGCAGGTGGTGGCTGCCCCACCTTCCAACTACAGCTGTGGCTTCAAGTGGCAAGTCTGTGAGAAGGTGGCAGAGGAGTGCAGACAGGATGAGCAACCATCACTTCACCATGGACCTCTCGATTTCTGTTTTCACCTGAGGGGCTCTGAGGCCAGCAGGTGATGGTCTCAGGTTGGCAGACATTTTGATGGTGAGCAAGATTTCCAGGTGGGTCTGGGTAGGGCTGTTCCCCTCTGGCTGCAAATCCTGACCCAACAGCTCTGCCAGTGGTTTGAAATGGCACAAGCTGACCCATCTGCCCCAAATAAGAAGTTGTGGAGGCAGGGGGACAGCAAACCAACCACAGACAATGGCTGCAGGGGAGGGAGCAGCCTCAGGAACCTGACTCAGAAATGACACTTGGAGCCTGAACAGCACTTGGTCGCTGAAGTTTTGCATGACATCAATTTTTGCATAACATATGTTTTGGAAACTAACCATATGGAAAAGTGGGGAGTGGGTGTATAAGTCTTTTATGTTCCTGGTTAGTTAATTCCAAGGTATTTATTTTATCATTTTGGGGACTATCATAAGTAGTATTGTTTTCTTGATTTCTTTTTCAGAATACTCCCTTTTGTTGCAAAGGAACCCAACTGATTTTTGTGTGTTGATCTTGTACCCTGCAGCATTGCTGAATTATTACTTTAGTTACACAGTTCTTTAGAGTCTTCTCTGTATAGAATCATAGTCATCTGAGAATAAAGATAGTTTTACTTTTTCCTTTCCATTGTGGATGCCTTTTATTTCTCTTTCTTGCCTTATTGTTCTGGCTAGGACTTCCAATACAATATTAAAAAAGAGTGATGGTAATGGATCCTCATCTTATTCCTGTTTTCAAAGAGAAGTCTGTAAGTCTTCATGGATTAGAATGTTGGTTTGTGGTTTTGAGAATATGTCCTTAATTATATTGAGAGATTTCCTTTCTATTCTTATTTCAGGAGCGCTAGTGGTGTAGTTGTTAAAGCATCAGCTGCTAACCAAAATGTTGGTGGTTCAAACCTACCAGCCTCTCCAAAGCAATATGCTTCTATAAAGATTTATAGCCTTGGAAACTCTATGGGGCAGTTCTATTCTGTTCTGTTAGCTTGCTATGAATCAGAACTGGCTCAGTGGCAATGGATTTGGTTTGTTTTTTATTCCTATTTTGCTGAAAGTTGTTTTTTTTTTGTTTTTTAAATCAGGAAAGGTGTTGAATTTTATCAAACTTTTTTCCTACGTCAATTGATATAATCATATGATTTTTTTTTTTTTTTTGGTATGTGGTGGATTATATGAATTTATTTTATAATGTCAAATCACCCTTGTAGTCCTGGTATGAATTCCATTTGACCATGGTATATAATTTTTTTAAATATGTTGTTGATTTCTATAGGCTAGAATTTTATTGAAAAATTTTGCATCCTGGTTCATGGGGAATATTGGTCTGTAATTTTCTTTTTCTGTCATATTTTTGTTTTAGGTATCAGGGTTATTTATACTGGCTTCAGAGAAAGAGTTATGGGGTGTTCCTTCCTCTTCTATGTTCGTGTAGAGTTTGAGTAAAATTGGTATCAACTGTTCTCTGAATGTTTGATAGGATTCCCCAGGGTAGTCATCTGGTCCTTGGCATTTTATTTGTTGGTAATTTTTTTGATGACCAAAACACCCAAACCAAACTCACTGCCATGGAGTTGATTCCAACTCATAACAATCCCTTCTCGGGTTTCTGAGGCAGTATCTCCATGAAAGTAGATTGCCCAGTCTTCCCTCTGAGGAGTGAGACATCCTCACTCTCTTTTTTGTAATGAATCTGTTTAGATTTTCTATACTTCTTTGTGTGAGTGTAGATAGGTAGTGTGTTTCTAGGAATTTATCCATTTCATCTAGGTTTTCAAATTTGTTGAAGTACAATTTTTCAGAGTAATCTGTTATGATACTCTAAATCTCATTTGGATTTGTTGTAATGTCTCCACTTTCATTTCTCAATTTGGTTATTTGCCTCATCTCATTTATTTCTTTTGACAGTCTAGTTGGTGATTTGTCTATTTTATTGATCCTTTCAAAGAACCAACAATTGGATTTACTGATTCTTTCTATTGTTTTTCTATTTCATTTATTTCTGTCCTAATTTTTAATATTTCTTTTTTATAATAGTTTTAGGCTTCTTTTGCTCTTCCATCTGTATTTGTTCAAGTTGTTGGTTTAAGTTATTGATTTTGGATCTTTCTTCTTTTTTAATGTAGGCATTTATTGCTATGAATTTCCCTTTGAAATGCTTTTGCATTGTGTCCCAAAGGTTTTGAAATGTTTTGTTTTCATTTTTGTTTGATTTTAAAACCCATTGCCATTGAGTCAATTCAGACTCATAGTGACATCCAATGGGTTTCCAAGGTGGTAAATCTTTATAGACATAGATTGCTCCACCTTCCTTCTGTGAAGTAGCTGGCGAGTTTGAACTGCCAACCTTCTGGTTAGCAGTCAGAATGCCGTAGGCACCATGCCACCAGAACTCCTTTTTGATTTTAAGAATTTTTAAATTTTACTTTTGATTTATTCTGTGGTCCAATAGTGGCAGTCAGCTTCCATAAAGATTACAGCTTTGGAAACCTTACGGGACAGTTCTACTCTGTCCTATCAATTCAGTATGAGTTGGAATTGGATTTAGTTTGGTTTAATGATCTTCTTTATTTCTTATAATGAATTTTGATGTAAAGTCTATTTTATCTGTTATCAGTATGACTATCTGCTTTTTTGTTTGTTTGTTTGTTTACTGGTTGCACAGACTATATTCTTTTTTATATCCTTTTATTTTCAATCTATTTGGGTTCTTATGTTTAAAGTGTGTTTCTTATAGACAACAAAAGGATAGATAATGTTGTTTTATCCATTCTGCTACTCTCTGCCGTTTGCATGGGGAATTTAGACCATTTACATTTAAGGTTATTACTGAAAACAAAATATCTACCTTATTCATTTTGCTATTTGTTTTTTTAGTATTTCATGTCTTCTTTGCTTTTTATTCTCATTTTTCTGTAACTTGAGTTTAGCTACATTCTTCAGATAAGCCTTTTTGATTTCTTCCTTCTTTCTTTCTGTGTATTTTTTCTAGGTGATTTCTTAGTGGTTCAACAAAAAACAAAACAAACTCACTGCCATCGAGTCAGATGCAACTCATAGCGACCCCTCCTTGGGTTTCCGAAGCTGTGTCACTATGGAAATAGATTGCCCAGTCTTCCTTCTGAGGGGTGGCTAGTAGGTTTGAAGTGCTAGCTTTCCACACACTCGTTACTTTACACAACTTGAAACTGACAACATTTAACAAATGAACAACAGGCAACATGCAACATTAACATAGTAAATCTTTTCCTAATTTGTCCCTTCCTCCACCATTTCTGTTGGTGAGTCTCCATTAACATCATTGTACATCCTATACCTAGTAGGTTTACTTTGTACTTATTTCTTGTAAACTTGATGTTGTGTTGCTCACAGGATTAAATTATTGAGTTTATTCCCTGAAAATATGGTATACTCAGTCCTTATATTTGCCTGTGTTGTTATGTTTTTGTTTGTTTTGTTTTTGAGATAGATTTCTCTCTCTCTTATTTTTTTTTCCCACTCTCTCTGTTACTTTTTTCCCCACTGTAGAGACTTGAGTGTTTTTTTGTTTTTGCCCTTCTATTTGGAGTAACACTTACAGAACTTTATTTCTCTGAGATTAGCAAATTCCCAGAACTTCTTTTTATTTGGGCATATCTAAATTTTCCCCTTGTTCTTGAATAAATACTTTGTTGGGTGAAGGATTCTTGTTTGGCAATTATTTTCATTTAATATGTTATATATGTCACTCTATTGTCTTCTAGCTGCAAGAGTGTGGGGGGGAGAAATCTTCGCAGATTCTTAGTGTATGTTTTTTTCTTGCTGCTTTCATAATTCTCTTCTTGTCTTCGGTTTTCAGGAATTTTAGTAGGATGTGGCTTGAGGTTGATCTTTTTTGTATTTTTTATAATTGGAGTTTGAGTAGCTTCCTGCATTTGCTGGCTTGCTTCTCTGTATAGACCTGGGAAATTCTCCATGATTATCTCTTGAAAAATTCTTTCTATGCTTTTATTATTGTCATGAAGCTTTGGAATTCCAATAATTCTAATGCTACATCTTTCAGTTGAGTCTTATATTTCCATTTGTCTTTGCTCACTTTTCTTTGTTCTTTTCACTTATTTCTCTTCATAGTAGATAAGTTCATTCAGTTTGTCTTATAGTTTACTTACTGTATCTTCTGTCTGTTCAACTCTATTATTGAGTTTTTCTCTTGCATTTTGTAATTCGGTTGCTTTATTCTTCAGTTCTATTAATTCTCTTTGTTTTTGTCTATCTATCTATCTATCTATCTATCTATATAATATATAATATATATATTATATATGGGAGCTCTGCTAGCATAGTGCCTAAAGTACTTGACTACTAACCAGGAGGCTGGAGGGTCAAACCCACCAGCCACTCCTCGGAAATATCACTTCCATAGTGATACTGCCTCAGAAACCCAAGTAGGGGTGGCTATGAGTCGGATCCTGCTCCACTGCAAATCACACCAACAACATACTTAGACTTAGCTCTGTTACCTTATCTTAAGAACCACTAGAGGGCACCTTTTCCTTAGGTTTTTTTCAGTGCTGCCTCAAGAGTTCCATGAGAACTTGAGTTTTGTTTTGTTTTCCGGATACTTAAAACTCTCTGAGTACTTATTCTGGCAGGCTCTACCTGAGGTGGCTAACTTTGCTGGTGTGTTAATTCTCTCTGTCTTCTGAGATTTTGGTTGTGGTTCTGATTATACTCCTAGGTTGGTTTCTTTACCCCCTTACAAGCAGTATGGAATGGCCTAGCCTCTGAAACTCAATGCTCATGTGTGGTTTTTTCTGCTGGCCACAATTATTAATGCAAGTGGTGGAGCTCAGTTTTCCTGAGGTAAGATGAGGAGTGCTTTATGTCTTTATTTCATAGGTGCTCTTTTACAGGCTTTCCTGTGGTGTATTGTGTGAGCTGGGAGACTGTGTTGCCTATCTGAAGTATTGTTCTTGTCCTGGCTCAAGGCTGTGTCGTACAGCTTTTCAGAATGTCTAGGTCCTAGAGCCCAAGTGCTTCACTAATCAGTGATACTGCACAGCACTCACTTGCCACACATCAGTCTCCCTACCCCACCCCCAAGTATGTAGCCCTTGAACTCTCACAACCAATATGCTCAGCCTTAAAAATCAGGCTACAGCTTCCTCAGTTTAGTTCTTGTCCTACGTTCTTTGTTCAGGGTGTTTCTTGTTCCCATTCCAAAATGGCAACAATGGGCTAAGTTCTCCAGGTGACAGTGGCTAGGATCATCCAGCTTCTGTGCCTCCCCTTCACCTTTCACCCTTGTTTCTAGACTCACTTTGACTCTGTAACAACACTTCAGCTGCTGTCTGGAGTTCTGAGATCTCGGTCTATGCTTGTTTATATATTTGTTATTCAGTGGATTAGCTGCTGGGAGATAAATGGGAGCAACTGCTTACTCCACTATCTTGCCCACCTCCTCTCTCCATTTCCCTCTTCTACTGGCTCCTAAACCAAACCAAACCAAACCCACTCCTGTGGAGTCAGATCTGACTCATAGTAACCCCTCCGAGGGTTTTCCGAGGTGGTATCACTACAGAAGTAGATTGCCCAACCTTCCTTCTGAGGAATGCCTGGTGGGTTTCAACCACCAGCCTTCTGGTTAGCAGTCAAATGCCTTAAGCACCACACCACCAGAACCTCTCTACTAGCTCCTAGTAACCTCCAATCTACTTTCTGTCTTTGTTGATTTGCCTATTTTAATTATTTTATAGGAGGTCTGGTAGTGTTGTGCCTAAGGCACTTGACTGCTAACCAGAAGGCTGGCAGTTCAAACCCACCAGCCACTCCTCAGAAGGAAAGTTGGGCAATCTACTTCCATAGTGATACCACCTTGGAAAACCCAAGGAGGAGTTGCTATGAGTTGGATCCGACTGGATGGCACATAACAACAACAATAACAACAACCAGTAGGTGGAATGTAGAATCACATTGTGGTTTTGATTTGCGTTTTTCAATGACTAATGATATTGAGCATTTTCTCTTATGTTTAATAAAAATATATATATTTTCTTTGAATAAATAACTATTAAAGTCATTTGCTCAGGTTTCAATTGGATTGCCAGTTATTGAGTTGTAGGAGTCTTTTTCTTTATACATTCTGGATATTAAACCAAATAAAGGAACTCTGGGGCATGGTGCTTAAGGAATTTGACTGCTAACCAAGAGAGTGGTGGTTCAAATCCACCAGTTGCTCCATGGAAGGAATCTTTACTTTTGTAAAGATTTACTGCCTGGAAAACCCACTGGGGATCACTATGAGTCAGAATTGAGAAAATGACAGTGAGGTTTTTGTTTGTTTGTTTGTTTTTATTAAACCACATATGTAATTTGCAAGTATTCTTTTTCTCATTCTGTGGATTATTTTTTCACTCAGTGGATAGTGTTCCTTGATGGACAAATTTTTAACTTTTT